GGAAAGTGCCGTCAAATTGCAGTCGACTCATGGCAACCCCACAGGGATTTATTTATTTATTTATTTATTTATTTATTTTCTTCAATTTATATACCGCTCAGCCCCTGAGGGCTCTGAGCAGTTTACATGTTCCATTAATGCCAATCCTAACCTAGGGCCACATACATATAAGGGGGAGAGTGACTAGCCTACCAGGCACCCTGTAGCGAGTCGTTGTCTGCGGGAACTCGTCCGACGACGTCCTCCTGGCGCTGGTCTTTGATTGTTGCGACTTCCTGGCTGTTGTGACTCCTTCGGGCCTGGACCGAGCGCACGTCCGCGCATGCTCGCTGCCGGCCTCTGTCCAGTAGGCTCCGGCCTGCTGCGTCGCCCCACCTCCGTGCTTTTGCTGGCCCAGCCTCCTCTCGCTTGCTTTTCAAGGCAAGAGACGTTCAGACGTGGCTTGCCCTTGCCTGCCTCTGGGTAGTGACCCTGGACTTCCTCGGTGGTCTCCCATCCAAATACTGACCAGGACCAACACTGCTTAGCTTCCAAGATCTGGCGAGATCAGGCTAGCCGGGGCTATCCTGGGCAGGTTTTTCGTGTAAAGGTTTATAAAATTTTGCCTGGGGCAGAGAAAGTGGATAGAGAAGCTTTATCTTCTTTCCCCATAATATTAGAATTTGCAGGCACCCAGTAAAATCGATGGGCAGTTAGATTCAGAGCAGACGAAAGGAACAATATAACTCTACAAGTAATTAGTGTGTGGCATTCGGCGCCATAAGATATTGTCCAGACCGCTAGTTTGTCTGTCTTCAGAAGGGGGTTCGACAGATTCATGGTGGTGGGCAAGGTCAGCAGCTATTGGCTGCAATGATGATTAACTAGAACCTCCATATTCGGAAGCAGTCACTCTGACTACGAGTTGCTGGGCTCTGGCCTCTGTGTCCTTGTAGGCCTACCACGAGCATCTCATTTGCTGTGGTGTTGAAGCAGGATGCTGGACAAGATGAACCATTGGTCAGATCCAGCACTGCAGCTGTTAGGTTGTCTGATCGCATCCAGGTTACATTACGTTGAAGATGGCTCGAAAGCTTCAGTTGTTACAAAGCGCAGCAGTGGGATTGTTGGCAGGCATAAATTTTAGGAAATCAGGACATATTCAGCCAGTTTTAAAAAAACTATGGGGGGGCCCCTACAAGTTCGGTTTTGGGTTGCTGTAGACCTTTGAACCCTAAGTATCCTGAAGTCACACACGAAGCTGCCTTATACTGAATCAGACCCTTGATCCATCAAGATCAGTATTGTCTACTCAGGCTCGCAGCAGCTTTCCAACTTCTCAAGCAGAGGTCTTTCACATCACCTACTGACAGATCCCGTAACAGGAGATGCGGGGGTTTCAATCAATCAATCAATCAGATCTATTTGGTCAATGAGCAGCACAAATCACAAAGTCACAAGTTACAGACAAAAAAAGAAAACCCAAACAAAAAGAGTCAACCGTAATAACCAGTATACAGAAACAATATAAAATTAGCTAAAATTTAAATTCAGTATGCAAGATTTCCTGGCGGATTTTACAGGCTGCTGCAAAAAATTTCACACAACAGACTGTAGTCTGGGGTTTGAACCTGGGACCTTCTGCATGCCAAGCAGATGCTCTACCACTGAACCACACAGCCCCTCTCACGAGTCATAGATAATATTAAAAGACCATGAATCTGACTATAAAGGAGAGCTTGTTTCATCTGCTTCCCTTTTCTAAGGCCAGGTGGGTAGCCAAAGACAGGGCCTCTTCTGTTGTGGCACACTGTAGATATCCCTCCCCTCCCCACAATCATTTGCGTGCTGCAAAGCTTGTTAAACTTTCAGCACCAAGGAAAGGTACTGTATTTTCCTCCCAGGTTCTTCATTGAATTACCCTCCCTTCCGTTTTAAAAATCTGGCTTCTGTATTGGTTTTGCTATAGTGTAATTTTAAATCTGTAACAGCATGAGCCTTTTAAAGTTTGGTTTCTTTGGATGCTCTAACTCAGGGGTCATTTCGTAGAAAAAGAGCTAGGGGAACTCATTAGCATAACTCATTAGCATATGCCACACCCCCTGACATCAGGGGCCCGGCAGTGGACCTGCAAGGCCGGCGGGAGTGTGAGGAAGCCCCACAAAGTCCCTCCGTGGCCCCAGGCAGGCAGGGGTGGGGAGAGGCAGGGAGGAAGCAACTTACCCTCCCTCTTCTCCTGCCTCCTCCTGGCTGAATGAGGGCTGGAAGTGGGGCGGCTGGAAGCAGGGGGCGGGGCTTCGTCATGTGCCCCGCCCCCTGTACCTCACCCGGGGGGACTGCGTTCCCCCGCGATCCCCCCCGAAATGACCTCTGGCTCTAATGCTGATTGTTATTACAATAGTGCAGCATTGTTTTGCTAAATATTTAATTTGCTACTGGACCTAGTTATATTTAACCATTTTAGCTGCATTGGAAGCTTCAGAGAATGCAGCATATTTAACTGTCACATTTAAATATGTTAAATGAATATTTTTCTGTCCTTATAGTTGCAGGTTAAAGGTTTTGCCCTGAGGGGAATAACGCTTTCTGCTCTGTCTCTTTTCTGCCAGAGGTACTTTTGAAGATGCATTCTGTTGGAATCTGTGGCTCTGATGTTCACTATTGGCAGCATGGGCGGATCGGTGATTTTGTGGTGAATAGCCCAATGGTGTTGGGCCATGAGGCATCGGGAACCGTTGTCAAAGTGGGCTCTTCCGTAACCACACTGAAGAAAGGTGAGTCAAGGCCAGGAGTGGACTGGGACACTAAAGTAGATAATTAGGTACCGCTTCGGTGGGACTAAGCGCCTCGGCGTTTAGTCATGCTGGCCACAGAAACGTCTTTGGACTCTGCTGGCTCTTCGGCTTGGAAATAAGAGATGAGCACACACGCACCTAGAGTCGGATTTGACTGGCTTTTGAGCCAGGGAAACCTTTACCCTTTACCTCAGTGAAATGATAGCAATCTCCCCCAAGAAGGCCCTGCATCAGAAATCTGTCCAATAATCCCAGACTCGACTATTCTTGCTCTTCTTTTCCTTAAAATGAATTGAAGCTCGCTTTCCGATTCCAACACGTATGTTAAAACACCAAGGGTCAAACTGCTGGATCTGTACCTAGGATTCCAGACTGGGCCCTAACAACGTAGCATCAAGCAGCTTTGGTATGATTGGAGACATGGGGCTGGGGAGGGGCTTTTAAAACTCTCCCGCCCAATCATTGCACTGTTTCTGCAATCAGAAATGCGTCTCTTCCACCCCCTGGCATTTTTTCAGTCCTGGTTTCAAAAGAGAGGCACAGTATGCATACCTGCCTTATTTCCCAACTCTGGCTTAACAGGAAGCCATTTTTCATTCAGAGAAACAGCACAAGGACTAAGAGTTAGCACCCCATGGCTGCATTTCAGTGCCCAATAACCCATGCAGAGTTCCAGTCGCAGAGCTCTTAAATTAGCATGTAGTTTGACTTTGAGTTGTACCCCCCTAAGCTCTGTTTGTCTGAACCGCTGTGCATGCTGTCCTATGGTTTCTGGCTTCGGCTCCCTGATCCCTCAACTTCCTTGGAATTGCACATAAATGCTTTTTACGCCACAGTTTGCCCAGTCTTTGATCTTGCTACATTCATGACATTTTTTTCCACCCAGGTGACCGAGTAGCCATAGAACCCGGGGTTCCCCGAGAAACAGACGAGTTCTGCAAAACTGGGCGGTACAACCTGTCTCCATCCATCTTTTTCTGCGCGACTCCCCCCGATGATGGGAACCTGTGCCGCTATTACACGCACAATGCCAACTTTTGCTACAAGTGAGTTGCAAGTGCCTGTTGGCAGGTGCTTTTGTGCGGGGAGGAGCTAGCCAAACTGAACTTATCCCCTGGGTAGTTAAGAAGAGCCAGTGGTCCACCTAGTCCAGCATCCTGTCTCACACAGTGGCCAACCAGTTCCTCTGGACAGCCAGCATCAGGGCATAGAGGCTGAGGCCTTCCCCTGAGGTTGCCTCCTCCTGGCACTGAGATTCAGAGGCTTAGTGTCTCTGAATGTGGAGGTTCCCCTCAAGTCACCATGGCTAGTATCCACTGATAGGCATATCCTCCATGAATCTATCTAATCCCCTGTTAAAACTGTTTATTCCTGTGGCCATCCCTAAATCCTCTGGCAGCGAATTCCACATTTTAATCACTCTCTCAGTGTTCCCTCTAAGCTGAGTTGGTGTGAGCTAGCTCCCAGTTTTTTAGCCTCTGGCTCACACATTTTTGTCTTAGCTCAGGAAGGAGGGCTCCAGAGCTAACTAATTTATGCAGTAGCCAAATCGCTTGCTCACAACTTCAATGCCGGTAGCTCACAAAGCAGACTTTTTGCTCACAAGACTCCACAGCTTAGAGGGAACATTGCTCTCAGTGTAAAGTAGTATTTCCTTTTGTCTGTCCTGAACCTACTGCCCATCAGCTTCATTGGATGCCCTTGAATCCTAGTCCTTTGGGAGAGCGAGAAAAAGCTCCCTTTGTCAGCTCTCTCCACCTCATGCATAATTTTATCAACCTCTATCATGTCCCCCCTTAGTCATCTCTTTTTTCTAAACTGAAAAGTCCCAGGCTCTACAGCCTTTCCTCATAAGGAAGGTGCTCCAACCCTCTAACCCTCTCGGTTGCCCTCCTCTGCTAATTAGAACACCACCGCTTGCTATCATGAATCTATATGGTACAGGGTTGCACCTGGTTTGACCAGTTGTCCGGGAAACAATAGGTTACATTTCAAACAATAAGAGCCAGCGTGGTGTATCGGTTAAAGGTTCGAATCCCCACTCTGCCGTGGAAGCTCACTGGGTGACCTTGAGCCAGTCACACACCCTCTCAGCCTCACCTAGCCTCACCTACCTCACAGGGCTGTTGTGACGATAAAACAGAGGAGAGGAGAATGACATAAGCCGCTTTGAGTCCCCAATAGTGGGGAGAAAGGCAGGATATAAATAAAGTAATACCTAAATAAGAAAAATGGAGCTGCGGTGGCTCAAGTGGTGAAGACGCTGAACTGCAGGCTGTGGAAGGTCGGTAGTTCAGCAGTTCAAGACGCGGGTGCCGCATGATGGAGTGAGCTCCCGTCTCTAGTTCCAGCTCCTGCCAACCTAGCAGTTCGAAAGCAAGGAATTGCAAGTAGATAAATAGGTACCACTTCGGTGGGAAGGTAATAGCGTTCCGTGCGCCTTGGTGTTTAGTCATGCTGGCCACATGACCACGGAAACATCTTCGGACAGCGCTGGCTCTTCGGCTTTGAAATGGAGATGAGCACCGCAACCCTTGAGTCGGACTCGACTGGCTTTCGAGCAAGGGAAACCTTTACCTTTAAATAAGTAAAACTTAAATTTTTACTTTTTAGGAATTACATTTAATAGAGGCACACATACAGCAAAAAAAAAAAAAAGATTGAGCACATACCAGGCAAACCCTTTCTGAGATGTCATACCTGGTGCAACGATCAAATTAAAAGCAGTGGATAGAAAAGTTTCTGCATAGGCTAATATAAAAAGCTGTCCGTGTAAATCCATATTGTCTGGCTCTGACTTTTATGCAGCAGTGCTAACAAACTTTGTGACTGTGGGTTTCATCCTGTACAGATAAATTTGCCAAAAACTAATACGTGTCAGTACCTTTCCCATTGTAGACCTAAGTACAGCGACTATTTTACACATGAGTATTTGGTACCAGATCTTGCTACTTCACAGTGCAATCCTAAGCGGAGTTTTCCCCTTCTGAGACAATGGATTTAAAAGAGCAAAACACTTTGTGGGATTGCACTGTTTCTCTCCTGCGTCAGTATGTTAATGTCTTTGTGACAACTAGTAAGTTACCTCCTAACGTGCTTACCAACAATTGAAATTTGGAAATAGGAGTTTCATTTCCCCATGTTTCTATGATCATTTTTCGATTGGTTTTAGCTCTCACATGGTATACAAGAGTTTCTGCCCATTTTTCTGATTTCCCTCAGTAACTTGTAAGCTGCTAAAGTGATTTTAAAAAATCCTTTCGGTTGTATTCTTCAGAGAATCACCTAGAATAATGGCCTGCAATCTGGAAATGGTCTCTAGTCCACCAAAGATTAAATAAAGAAATAAATAAAAGCTCAAGCTGCAGTGAGTTCGTATTCAAGGTGCCACAAGACTTTTCTTTTGGCTTCCCCCCTTTAACTCCTAAGACCGTTCGGTGTCAGATAAAGATTGTGTGACACAGAGCGTTGGACTGGATGGGCCATTGGCCTGATCCAACATGGCTTCTCTTATGTCTTTACATCAGAAGGTGCAGGTATGGCAGACAGATCTCCGCATGGAATTATTGGCAAATCTGGAACCAAAGAAGTAATTTTGTCACTGTGCTGAATTAGCTGGTGGAGCTTACTGTGGCAAATGGTTCTGAAGAGTAACGGTGGACGTGGGTTTAGAAAGGATTAGGCCGCTGGGTGTGAGAGTCATTCTCACAAGATGTTACTAAACCTCTAATTGCTGGGAATGAATGACAGGATGGTGGATCATTGCCTAGAGGTTTTCTCATCTGCTTACTGAGAAACACTCAGCATTAGTTAATGTGGAAAGGACCTCTTAGAAAAGAAAGCTTAGGCAGATTGTTGGACCAAGAAGTAGATTATGGCTAATGTTAACGAGGCAGAGAGCGAGCGAGTTGCATTGGTTTTTTTAAAATGTACATGAAGAACACTTCCCTGGCTGTCTTAGACATATCATCGTTACATTTCAACAGTTTGATGACTTGCCTGGTTTTAAGATTAATCAGTTCCAGTCTGTGTTAAGTGAAGTGTAAATGTGGGGCCTGAAGTCTCCCCCAAAGCTAAAAAGACTAAACTGAGGCTGTCGCACTTTGGTCACAATATGAGAAGACAAGAGTCACTGGAAAAGATAAGGATGCTAGGAAAAGTTGAGGGCAGCAGGAAAGGAGGAAGACCCAACAGGAGATGGATGGACTGAATCAAGGAAGCCACAAAGGCCCTCCGCTTGCAAGACCCGAACAAGGCTGTTAAAGAGAGGAAGTTTGGGAAGTCATTAATTCATCAGGTCACCATAAGTGGGAAGCAAATTGACGGCACTTAACACACACACAGAAATGTGGCCCTGACCTGGATAGCCCAGGCAAGCCTGATCTTGTCAGATCTCGGACACTAAGCAGGACCAACCCTGGCAAGTGTTTGGAAGGGAGACCTCCAAGGAATACCAGGGCTGGGATGTAGAGGCAGGCAATAGTTAGTCACCTCTCTGAAATGTCCAAGGCCCATTATGGGTCACCAGAAGTGAACCATGACTTCCACCCACACGCATGCACAATCACACACAATACTTACCAAAAAAACCCAAACGAACGTGGGGCTGCATTTCAGTGCTAAAATTGTAATTTTGACAAAATATGGTCCCGGTCACACGGGCCGGATAACATGGGGGGGAGGCGTGGCTATTTGTGCCATCGCAATTTGACGCGCCCCAATGCAATCAGACGCGGTGGCGTTGTTTCCATCGGCGGGTGTTTCCAGCACGCTCCAACCAGGAAGCAGGGACGCTAAAGGAGCGATCACACGGAGAGCATCCATCTATAGCCCGTCGCAACCGGTTGATAGCGGATTTTCCCAAGTACTTTTAAACTCCGCATCTTCGGCAGGACAATACTGGTTGGCGACGGGTGCGCGACGCTTACCTGATGTTTCCGTGTGATTGCACCTGTATAATCTGCCCGGCAATCGTGGCTCTCTCGCAGAACTTCTGCGTGTGACCGGGACCTATGAATGGAAAAGGATAATAATAAATACTTAGGCATCTGCCTGACCTGGGGTGTTACTTTTTTTTAACTTTTTAAAAAAAATTCAATTGAAACATTAACATTAACAATAACAATGCGTTGACATCCAACTTGTAGTATTAACAATGTAATATTAAAGAATTCAAATATCAACACTAAACAAACTTTTTGGGCATGATAATATCAACAGTCCAATAATTACAAGATCCATTCTTTATGAATAAGATTATAATACTGCGATTTCTGCTCCAAGACATATTCCAATTTTTCCAATATCAACCTCCATCTTCCATAAAATGCTTGAGAATTACAAGAAGGGTCTGAATTTGCCAATTTGTCTGAGATTTTATCCATTAAGAGATGTTCCCAGATCTTGGAATACCAAGTACTAATATGTAAAGGAGCGTTACTCTTCCAGCTCTGTGCAATTGTTGTTTTTGTTGCTGAAAATAATAGGGTTAATAATTCTTTACTATATTGTGGAATTGAGATATCTTTCCAATAATTCAAAAGTATGATTTCAGGTTTTGCTGGGATATCATAACCGGTTAAAAATGTAATTTGGGTTATAATATTTTGCCAGAATGTTTTAACTACTGTGCACCCCCACCAGCAATGGATATATGAGCCTATGCCTCCACACTGTTTCCAACAGTAAGGTGATAATTTACTATTCATTCTATGTAATTTTAGGGGTGTTAAGTACCACCTGGTAAGTATTTTATAATTTTTTTGTTGTACATTTATGGATTTAGTCTTGGATGCGTATGCCGACCATACCTCTTCCCAAAAAGAGTCATTTAATTCTGTTTCTAAGTCTGCATTCCAAGATGTTACATATGAAGGTAAATTTGACGGGATAGGATCAATAAGTATTTTATATATTTTGGAGATCAAACCTCTACCAGTGCCATCAGTCCGTAATAAAAAATTTTCGAATTCGGTAGGCGGCCTAGTGCATGCTTGTACCTGGGGTGTTTCTGATTTAACTCGAGAGCTGTTCATTCAAAAGACACAATGAGAACTAAAAAGATGGTCTGAGAGAAGTCTTCCAGGATTTCAGTAGTTAAAAGGTGCTACTCAAATTTACGTTTCTGTTAATTCCTTATAGTGTGTGTGTGTGTGGGGGGGGAATTAACTATATCAATTTAGAATTATTTGCCATACAGCGTTAGAAGAAGTTACGCTATTATGCGCCGGAGTGTAGTGTGGCTATTCCTAAGCATAACCATCATGCCGACGTGTTGATTTCACTCCGTGTTCTCTTTCCTCACTGTAGGCTTCCGGAAAATGTCACCTTTGAGGAGGGTGCTCTGATTGAGCCTCTGTCCGTGGGAATCCATGCCTGCAGAAGAGCTGGGGTGACCCTTGGAAGCAAAGTCTTCATTTGTGGTGCCGGTATGAAATCATCGCTTTGTATGCTTCTGATTTCTTTTTCCCAAGCCAGACACCTACCTCTCAACCCAAGAGCTGGTCCAAATACCTCGCCCTGGAGGTGACACCAGAAACGACTTTCTTGAGAAAAGCGTTTCCTGTCCTGCACATAATGCATCTTGTGTGGACCACTGCATCCGTGCTCCAGTGCAGCACCCAAGTTCTGAATAGAGGGTCTGGTGTGGGCGGGATAGAGATACATGGTGGCAGCAATAAGAACATAAGAGAAGCCATGTTGGATCAGGCCAATGGCCCATCCAGTCCAACACTCTGTGTCACACAGTAGCCCAAACCCAGGTGCCATCAGAAGGTCCACCAGTGGGGCCAGAACTCCAGAAGCCCTCCCACTCTTGCTTCCCCCCCCCAGGCACCAGGAATACAGAGTATCACTGCCCCAGACAGAGTGTTCCATCTGTACCTTGTGGCTAATAACCACTGATGGACCCCTGCTCCCTATGTTTCTCCAATCCCCTCTTGAAGCTGTCTGTGCTTTGTAGCCCCCACCACTTCCTGCGGCAGTGAGTTCCACGTGTTAATAACTCGATCCTTGTCATGTGCAGTTCCATACTTTTTAGCTGGGACAGCAGTTGCTCATGATCGAAAAGTTGTTTTGGTGGTATCCCTGTGCTCAGTATAATGCTTGGAAGAGGCCCCCATGATAAAGTATATTGGCACAGGTAACTGCTCTCTGGCCCATACCTGCATAGTGTGAGGCTGGGTCATTGTTCCCAAGTGATCTTCCAGCTTCCAGTGGAGCAGGATCCTTCCTTGGTGGGCTAAAATTTACCTCCCTCCCCCTTTCCCCTCATTTTTGAGCATCCTGCCTGTTCATACATCACAGGTTGCCTTCTAGGGTGTTTTTAATTTTTTCCTGCTTTTCTTTCAGGACCGATTGGACTGGTGACTTTGCTTATCGCTAAAGTCATGGGAGCTTCACAAGTGGCGATCAGTGGTAAGACGGGCTTCCGGCTCTTCAGTCTCTTGTGTCCGACTACCTGCGCTTCCGTTCCGTAGGTTCACGTGAAATTAAGTACTTGTGTTCTCGGGGCATTTGAGAAGCTGCTGCCAAGCCCCGGCAAGCCCGATCTCGTCAGATCTCGGAAGCTAAGCGGGGCCGATCCTGGCAAGAACTTGGAAGGGAAACCTCCAAGGAATACCAGGGCTCGGGACGCAGAGGCAGGCTATCAAGCCGCCTCTCTGAAAAACATCCAAACCCCACTAGGGGTCACCAGAAGCCACCATGACTTCCAGGCATACATCATACGCACACAACCCCCCCCCCACACACACACAAATTTAAGCTGTAGAAAACGATTAGAATGGAAGTGATAATGCATCTAGCGCTCCCTGCAAACGTCTTTCACAGAAAGTATGGGGAACGATGCCCCAACGATGCACCTAGGGATCCCCCGCTACAATTGATCTCCAGATGACCAAGATCAGCTCCCCTGGGGGAAATGGCCACTTTGGATGGTGGACTCGAGACTGGATTTATACCCCACCCTTCACTAGGAGTCTCAGAGCGGCTTACAAACGCCTTTCCCTTCCCCTCCCCACAACAGGCACCCTGTGAGGTGGGTGGGGCTGAGAGACCTCTTTTGTGAACTGCTCTTGAGAGAACAGCGCTGACAACTATGGCTTGCCCAAGGTCATCCAGCAGCTGCAAGTGGAGGAGTGGGGAATCAAACCCGGTTCTCCCAGATTAGAGCACTTAACCACTACTCTCTATTCGAGAGCACATCCGGCCTGTGCTGAGGGAGCTGCACTGGCTGCCAATAGCATATCGGATTCGCTTCAAGGTGCTGGTTTTGACCTTTAAAACCCTATATGACCGGGGGCCTGCCTACCTGAGGGCCCGCCTTTCCCCACATGTTCCCCAGAGAGCACTGAGGTCGGGGACTTTAAATCGCCTGACTGTCCCTGGCCCCAAGGATGCCAGACTGGCTATTACCAGATCCAGGGCCTTCTCAGTGGCGGCTCCACACTGGTGGAATGAGCTCCCGGAGGACATCAGGGCCCTCCGGGACCTCTTACAGTTCTGCGGGGCCTGTAAAACTGAGCTCTTCCACCAGGCCTTCGATTAGGAGCCGCCACTGAACGAGCTACTGAACATCTATTACTGGTACTTTCTTTGGGATAGTCATATGGGGCCAACTACAACGATCGCCATCTGCACTTTCTTGTTTGTATATAATTTGTTCTTTATATTATATTGTTGAATTTTATCTGTTTTTGAGCCTGCTTGTCAGGCAAGGCGGGAATAGAAATCGAAATAAATAAATAATACACCAAACTGGCTCTATGGCATTATACCCTGCTGAGGCCCCTCCCCTCCCCAAACCCCGCCCTCTCCTGGATCCACCCCCAAAGTCTCCAGGTCTTTCCCAACCCAGAGCTGGCAACCCTACCATGATGTGACGAGATCGGTCTTCCCCAGACTATCCAGGTCAGGGCAGGTTTGTACAGCTTTTAACACTTGTGTCTTTCTTGCGTAGATTTATCTGCTTCCCGCCTGAAAACGGCTAAGGAACTCGGGGCCGACTTCACCGTCGACGTTAAGAACGAGAGCCCCCGAGAGCTGGCAGAGAGGGTGAAAAACATGCTTGGTAGCATGCCGGAGATAACCATGGAATGCAGCGGGGCTGAACCCTCCATTCAGGCGGCGATATATGTGAGTCTCTCTCACCTCCCGGGTCAACCTGGGCCAGTCGGGAACCTCTCCGGTCTCTCCGACTCTAGGGTTGTGGTGCTCATCTCCGTTTCAAAGCCGAAGAGGCAGCGCTGTCCGAAGATGTTTCCGTGGTCATGTGACCGGCATGACTAAACACCAAGGCGCATGGAACGCTGTTACCTTCCCACTGAAGTGGTACCTATTTATCTACTTGCAATTTCCTGCTTTCGAACTGCTAGGTTGGCAGGAGCTGGGGCCAGAGACGGGAGCTCACTCCGTCATGTGGCACACTCGGGTCTCGAACTGCTGAACTACTGACCTTCCACAGCCTGCAGTTCAGCGTCTCAACCACTTGAGTTAACATTAAAGGCAGAAGAGAATGCAGGAGATTCTTGGCTCATGAAAGCTCAATATTTGGAGATCCACAAAAGGAAAAACAGCACTAACGTCAGAGCCCAAACTGACTCACGCATTCCACAAAGACCTTCACATATGCCTAGTGCTGGCATGCTGGTCAGTTAACTATCTGTGGCTCTTGCTGCTCTTCACAAGCTTTCTTTCTTCAACAAAAGATCTCTGGTATTAGGATTGCCAGATCCTCCCGTGGAGGTGGAGGCCCCCCACTGCCAGGCCCTGCCCTACAGCCACCTATCAGCTGGCTGGCAGGGTGACTAACCTGTAGAAGAAGAAAGGCCCAGGCCACATTGCCAGCATCCCACAGGAAGTGATGTCATCACTCTGTGATGTACGGTTGACACGGTGGTATTTGGGAAAAAACCCCAAGGTAGAAGCTGTTTTCGCCATAGAGTTTTTGCCCAAACACCAGAGCATTTCCTGGAAGTTGCAGTGTAGGTTTACCAATCCCCAGTTGGGGGCAGGGGATCCCCCAGTTTGGAGCCCCTCTCTGTGCTTCAGGGCTGTTAGAAAGTGGGCGGGGATAGCTGCTGGGCACTCCATTATACTGTATAGAGACCAGTCCCCATAGGGTATAATGGAGAATTGATCTGAGGGCATCTGGGGCTCTGAGGGGGCTGGTGGTTTTTTAGTTAGAGGCACGAAATGTTCAGCATAGCTGCTAATGCTACTCCTCGAAAAAGGGAAAACTGCCAAGTTTCAAAAAGATTGGACCAGGGGGTCCAATTCTGTGAGCCCCAAAATAAGGTGCCCCCATCCTCCACTATTTCCAATAGAGGGAAAGCATTTAAAAGGAATGCAGTCCCTTTACCTTTAAATGTGACAGCAGCTCACCCAGATGTGACAGCAGCTCACCCAGAAGTTGCTTTGGAGTTCTTTCTCCCGGAGCCTCCCTCCACTCTCCTGGAGCCTCCTAGTAAGTCCCCCACCCGCTTGTCAGCCTCACCTGGCTGTGGAGTCTTGTGAGCAAAAATTCTACTTTGTGAGCTACTGGCATTAAAGTTGTGAGCGAGCCATTCGGGCTACTGCATAAATCAGTTTGCTTTGGAGCCCTCCTTCCTGAGCTGAGGCAAAAATGTGTGAGCCGGAGGCTAAAAATCTGTGAGGTGGCTCACACCAACTCAGCTTAGAGGGAACTATGCTGGCAACCCTGTTGCAGTGTGATGGTGCCACTTCCTGTTGTCTGGTATCTTTATGTTAACATTTGCCTTGGTGTGCAGGCCGAGGCTGCCTAGTTGCCTCTTGCATTACTCCTTCTTTCTTTTTCTTGGTGGGAGGCATGCCATTTGGTTTGTCTCTTTCGTTTCCCTTTCAGGCAACCCGTTCTGGAGGGACGGTAGTTCTGGTGGGGATGGGTCCGGAAATGGTCACTTTGCCCGTGGTGAGTGCAGCCGCGCGGGAGGTGGACATAAAAGGAATATTTCGATACTGCAACACGTGAGTATTTGCCAGGCGATCTAAATATGCAAAACAGTGCCTTGTCGTTAAGTTGCACGCCAAGAGGAAGAAAAAATGGAAGGCCTTCTGGATTTGCCATATTGCTAGAAACAAACCTGTCCCACTGACTGTGCATACACTCTCTATAAGCCTTGCTTTAAGATTCTTTTAAGGTGTGCCTGGATTTTCTCCTTATTTCCGTGTTCTCCTTTTGTGAATGTCAACATGGCTGGTAGCCACTGATAGACTTATCCTCCATGAAGCTAACTAATCCCCCTTTAAAGCTGTTTATTCCTGGGGCCATCACCGCATCCTCTGGCAGCGAATTCCACATTTTAATCACTCTCTATTTAAAGTAGTATTTCCTTTTGCCCACCCCACTCTACTGCCCATCAGCTTCATTGGATTGCCCTCAGGTTCTAGTATTTTGGGAGAAGGAGAAGAATTTCTCTTTGTCAACTCACTCCATCCCATGCATAGTTTTATACGCCTCTATAAGAACATAAGAATTGCAATTTTTTAAAGCTGTCATGAAATGAATACAATGGATGCAAACAAATTGTCATCATAGGAAGTCAGAGAGTGGTATTTCACGTTCAGGTAGTGATTGGACAGCTGTTCTATTCTCTTGACCATGGCAGTCCTGCTGCCTCTCTGTGCTTATCAGAACAGGCTACTCGGAACATCAGACTTCTGCAAATCCTTATTTCAATTTTCCTGGCAGGTGGCCCATGGCGATCGCCATGCTTGCCTCTAAGAAAGTGAATGTCCAGCCACTGGTGACTCATCGTTTTCCTTTGGAAAAGGCTCTGGAAGCTTTCGAGACCACCAGAAAGTGCATCGGGATAAAAGTCATGCTGAAGTGTGACCCCAGCGACCAGAACCCTTGAACAATCAGACCGGCTGCGCTCCGTTCCTTCTCTCCTCTTACGAGGACGAAGCACACCGAAGGCGAGACCTTGTTGTTTTAAGGGCTTTTTCCCACCTTAAAATTGCAGAAATGTGGAAAATTAAATAGGAGCTAATCGTTCAAAAATTTTCAAACGATTTAATCTTGAACAGATGTTGAAATCAGTAGAAGGTACTTAACAATGACCGAAATTGAGCAGAAATACATCATACGTGATGCAACTCTTGCTGGGCTGTACCATTTCAGATGGTGGGGGGCAGGGAGCAATCTGTGTGAGCGTTCCCCGAAATAACAAACACCCTGGCATGTACCAAACAAATACATTAGGTGTTCATGCAGTATAAACTGGATTAACAGCAGGGAGGCGGTTTCTTGATGAACCACATTGTTAGTTTTGTACATCCAAGATGGTATGGTTTTTTTTTTAAAGTACTAAAATATGTAACCCCTCCCTGCAGTTTGAAATCGTTCACCCAGGAACAGCTATGCCTTGAACACACATAAACACATAAAGCTGCCTTATACTGCATCAGAACTTGGTCCATCAAAGTCAGTATTGTCCGCTCAGACTGGCAGCTGCTCCCCAAGGTCTCAGGCTGAGGTCTTTCCCATCACATTATTATCTGGGCCTTTTAGCTGGAGACACTGGGGATCGAACCAGGGACCTTCTGCATGCCAAGCAGATGCTCTGCCGGTGAGCCACAGTCTTGTGCTCAGTTTTGTGGTTAGGTGCACCCAGATCCTGTGCCTCAAATAATCTGTATCTCCCCAGCCGACACAGTGCATGCAATGCCTGTCTCCTATGCAGAAAGCACTTCTAGATAGGGACTGAGCATGAAAGCGACTTCCTCTGTAAAAGGGCTGGATCAGATGGCCAACCATGTGCATGGAGTTATGCACACAAGACTTAGGTTAGTGTGGTTTTCCCGTGCCCCCCTCTCCCAAAGCCTTGGGCATTGCAATTCCCCTCTCTCCCGTGCTGTTTCATGGAAATGGTAACTTGCTGCTATGTCATGGCTTGGTCACCTTTTTCATTTCTGGTCTGGAAGCCAAGCCACACTTTTCTCTGGTTCTGGCATAACCACAACTTGTGGCACGTCCCCAAAGCAAGTGAACTTCAGCAGGAAAGGGGGGAAATGTTGGCAGCGGAAGAGGCTGAGTGTGGAGGCCTGAGGCGCACTCAAAGGACTTTTTCCGCTGCCAGAGGATGTAGTGATGGCCACAGGAATAAATGGGATTGGACAGATTCACGGAGGATATGTCTATCAGTGGCGACTAGCCCTGGTGATTTAAAGGGAACCTTCACATTCAGAGGCAGGCAGCCTCTGAATCCCAGAGCCAGAGGGCACCATTAGGGGAAGAAGGCCTCGGCCTCTATGCCCTGCTGTTGGCTGTCCAGAGGAACTATCTGGCCGCTGTGTGAGAATGGTTTGGTTAAAATTAAATGGTATCCCTAGATGAGGTAGCCCTCTAGAGGAACTGGTTGGCGACTGTGGTAGACCTGGGCTGCCTTTCTGCTAACCCACAGAACCTCTGTCTTGTCAGGATTAAGTTCCATCTTGTTCACCCTCATCCAGTCCCATCACTCATTCCAAGTACTGGTTCACAACATGGACAGCATCCTTGGAATTAGGAGGGAACGAAAGGTGGAGCTGGGTATCATCCGGTGACACCACAGCCTGAATGTCCTGATGATCTCTTCCAGTGGCTTCAAGTAGATATTAAATAGCATGGGTGGTAAGAACATCAGAAGAGCCCTGCTGGATCAGACAGTGGCCAGCCAGTTCCTCTGGAGGGCCAACAACAGAGCATAGGGGCCAAGGCCTTCATAAAGTAATAAAATAAAAAATAATAATAAATAAGAACATAAGAAGAGTAGTCCATCTAGTCCTCCTGTCTCACACCGTGGCCAACCAGTTCCCCTGGAGGGCCAACAACAGGGCATAGAGGCCAAGGACTTCCCCTGATGTTGCCTCCTAGCTCTGGGATTCAGAGGTTGACTGCCTCTGAACGTGGAGGTTCCCTTCAGTCACCATGGCTAGCAGCCACTGATAGACTTATCCTCCGTGAATCTACCTAATCCCATTTAAAGTTGTGTATTCCTGTTGCCATTACTACCTCCTCTGGCAGAGAATTCCACATTTTAATCACTCTTTGGCTCTCCTGGTAGACCTCCTGATGGCACCTGGGTTTTGGCCACTGTGTGGCCCAGAGTGTTGGAGGACTGGATGGGCCATCGGCCTGATCCGACACGGCTTCTCTTACGTTCTTAAAGACAGTAAGACTGAACCCTGCAGAAACCGCCTCCCAAGAGCAGAAAGGTGTGGCAAAAGATTATGTTAAAAAGCGAATGGAAATTTAAGTGGACATACATTGGTTATAGACGCCTTAGCTTCCACACCTGGGATTCTGTGCCCGGCTGTTGCTAGCTGACGACCACAAAACAGAGCTCCACTCTGGACTCCACCCCTTCTGACCACATAGCTCTGTGGAATTCCTGCCTCTCAGGTAGCGCATGTTGTTGCGCAGCGAGGGGGGGGGAATGGCTGCCCCCATCCGTGTGCCAGAGGATGACAGCTTGTGCTGTGAATTGGTGCTCATCCATGACATCTTGCTGAATGGATTTTTGCCAGGGCAACGATTTAAAGTAAATAGGGCATGAATACAATGACTGGATAACATTCAGCACTGGTATTTAATGGTGTGTCCCGTCCCGTCCCCCGGTTTTGGATTGAAATGAGAAAAAGGTGAAAAGATAAATAGGTCAGGGCCTGGGAGGGCGGGGGAACCCCCAGCCCGAGCCCCATTTCCCTGAGCTCAGAGTCCCGACTTGCTCAATGTCTCCGTTGCCAAAAGTGATCCTCCGGTATGTGCCAGATATGTGGAGGATGCTCACAGATCGAGCTCAATCCTGGTTCGGGAGCAGGGAAGGCAACAAACTGCAGTTCGCCCAGCTCCCTGTGTTTGGTTGCCATGGCAAACTGGAGACCGGAGAAAGCTCCCCAAGTCATGCGTTCTGCATGCCTAAGGGGAAAGGCGGGAGGGAGAGAGCAAGCCGTATTGTGCCTGTTGGGGGCCAGGTTTGTTTGGGACCAGGCTTGAAGGTGGCCAGTCTCTTGCCACCATTCAGCCCGCAGTTCTTACTGTCCTGAATGGTTGCCCACAGAGTTTGCAGATAGCCAGGTCCCCTTGTGGCCACCGTCAGGAGGCAGGGTTGCCAGATCCAGGTTAGGGAAACTCCTGGAGATTTGGGGGGGGTGGAGCCTGGGGAGGACAGGGACCTCAGTGGGGTACAGTGACACAGAGTCCACCCTCCCAAGCATCCCTTTTCTCCAGGGGATCTGATATCTGGAGATGAGCTGTCATTCCTGGGGTTCCCCAGGTCCCCCCTGGAGGCTGGCATCCCTACCGTATGGGTACATTGCTGGGTTTCAAGAACCTTGATAAAGTTTGGGGAAGGGACCAGCGGGCTGCACCGCGGTTGAAAAAGAGTGTCAAGGTTTGAAACTATTTCAGATCTCGGAAGCGAAGCAGGGTCGACTCTGGCAAGTACTTGGATGGAAGACCTCCTTGGAATACCAGAGGTGGGAGGCAGGGGCAGGCTTTATTCAGCCACCTATCTGAATATCCTCCAGGCCCCAAGTAGTGATCCATCCCCAGAGGTCGCCATGACTTCCAGGTGCGCATGCGCGCGCGCGCGCACACACACACACACGAACAAAAATACAGAAAACCCCCAACCATTTAAAACTATTGGGGTGGGGTGGGGATCAAGTCAAGCTCTGTCTTTCTGCCAGCATCCAGAATTTGATCCTCAGCTATAGATGGGTAAGCAGTGCTCAGGTTCCACAGGTTCCAAGGAATCCACGTGATTCACAAGACTGAGATTTACTCAGGGCCTCACTGTCCCCTTCCGTCAAGATTTCCTTCTTTGAATTCCCTTGATTTTTCCCCCCTCCTTTGAATCATCGGAGTTATTTGCATGTCAGCAAACTGCTATCGCAGGACTCAAGCGAATATCCTCAAACACAAGGCTGTAAAATGGATTTACAGCCGTACACCTTGAAAGCACTTCCGATATCGTCAAGAGAGTCAACAACGTACAATATATACACAAACCAAACCCTTCCTTAAAAATGGCAAATAAATTAGACTTCCGGAATCTACAATCCATTCGTGTTGTTTTTAATAGCACTTTATGTTCTAATTTATGTATGCTTTTTCTGTCTCCCCCCCCCCCTTTTCTCTTACCAATAAAAACCAGAAATTCGGAAATCAGACATACTGTTTTTATTGCAATTTCAATTAAGATTACCCCCTGTGAACAAAAGAGCTAGATGTGCATCTAACCACACTGACCTTTTTACGCAGCTCAAGTCTGGAAACGGCTTTTCATCTATATAAGAACACACCTGGAGATCTTTCATCTACGCAAACCAGGCAGAATCCAGATCAGGGCAGGAGGTTTGTGTCTAGTTCTGTCTGCTATAGAATTCTAACTCAAGAGCTGCATTTTACATTTATTTATATTTAAATTTATATCCCGCACCTCCCCGCCGTAGTGGGCTCAGGCAGGGCCGGCTCCAGTTTTTTTTTCACACTAGGCGAGACTACCTTCTGGCGCCCCCTGAGTAAACAGGCACCGAGGAGTGCTTCTTGCAACAGCGGTGGCAGAAGGAAGCTTAAAAGTTCCACCAGGCTTGGTTTGCAAAGGAGGGGGGGGTGAAGGAGGCAGAGGGTGGGCAAAAAAGGGTGGCAATGGTGGCCCCCAATTGCCGGCTGGGGGAGGGCAGAATTGTGGCCGCACTTCGGCCCTGGAGAGGTTTAGACTGACTTACCCCACAGTGCGGTGTGGCTTGCAGGGCGATCTGGGCGGGGCGGCAGGCCAGGGGCCGCTCTAGGCCACTGCCTAAAAATTGTCTATGACAGGCCGGCCCTGGGCTCAGGGCGGCTAACAGCATATTTATTAATAAAATTCCAGTATATATAATAACATTAAAGTAAGAGTACAATATAAAGCACATAACCACAGGGCAAGGTGGCGTCATTCTGTCACCGTTTGAGTGGCTGCCTCCTGGCTCCTGCCAGGCTGTTAATCTTCCGTCTGGTGGTGATGTCGATGTTAGGCCAAGCGATTTGGGGACCCAGATCTTAGTGCTCTCTGGGGCACATGTGGGGAAAGGCGGTTCCTTTAGGTAAGTAGGTCCCCGACCATATAGGGCTTTAAAGGTAAGAACCAGCACCTTGAACCGTATATGGTATGCTTTTAGGGAGGGCTGGGTGTACTCCTGCACAGGAAGACACAGCAACAGCCTCGCCGCTGCATTCTGCACCAGCTGCAGCTTCTGGATCTGGGACAAGGGCAGCCCTATGTAGAGATCATTGCAGTAATCCAATCTCGAGGTGTCCATTGCGTGGATCACTGTCGCCAGGTCATTGCGTTCAAGGAAGGGAACCAACTGCCTAATCAGCCGTAGATGGTAAAAGACTGCCTTGGAAGTGGCTGCTACCTGGGCCTCCATCGTTAAGGAGGC